CAAGGGGAGGGATGGGCACGACCAGGGTGGGAGAAGAGGGAGGGAGAAGGTAGAGGGACACGTGATAGGGGGAGAAGAGGGGGGAAAAGCAAGGCAAGAGGTGGAGGGGAATAGGAGGGAGGAGAGAGAGGGAAACAGGGAAGAGTGAAGCGTAGGTCAAGAGATGTTAACGGGAGGGGAAGGAGGAATAGGGAGAAAAAAGGAAGGCGAAGGGAGAGAAAGTGTCACAGGGAACCGACTAAAGGAAAGGGTAGTTGGGGACAAGCAGCGGGATGCAGGTGAAGGGGGAATATATAACGTAGTGCGCGAAAGAATCCCTAGACTGCTCAAGTTCAACCCAAGGATTCCACTCAGCGCCGAAGTCAGAAACGCAGGCAAAACCAACAGACGGAAGGTGCGTGCGACGAGTATTTCTTGTCCTGTCTCCATCCCTTGGACGTATGCAATACTGTACACGAGGGGAAAAAGAAAATAAGCCGGAGTAAGGGGGAAGAAAAAGAAATAAAAAAAAATAGATTTGAAGAAACATTGTAAAAAAAAACGAGTTGGGAGACGGAAAAAAAAATAAAAGGCAGTAAGAAAGAGAAGGTGGCAGAAGAGCGTGAAAAAAATAAAACTGTATGTAGATGCTAAATTAGGAGTTGGAAACTTTAGGGAAGAAGCGGGTACAAGAGAAGGAAACGTAAAGTGAGCAAAAAAAAGGCAACAAAAATGTAGGAATGGTTGTTAAAGAGGTGAAAAAAGGTGGGGTAAGAAAAAGAGCGTTATGGAGAGAAGGAACGAGGAGCGAAAAAAAACAAAAAGTAGTGAATAGTACAGGAAGAGAGACGTCTTGAGAGAAAAAAAGACAATATCAGCCGAATAGAAGAGAGTTAGTGAGGTTTTGGCGCGAAGAGAAGAAAAGTGAGCGGGACCTGCCCAGCAGACAACCAGCGGGGTGACAGCCACCGAAACCGACAAACACCCCAGGAGATAGGGACGAGATAAATTAAGGAAATAGGATGACATCACCGAGGCTCACGCTCAAAATGCCTTTTCAAGAACACGGTTAATCTCATACCAACGAATAGACACGACCAACTCACTCCCTGGAACCGAAGGCCTAGCGTGATCCTAACGTTAAAGTAGTTAACGTTAATAGCCTTAGTTAAGCGCGTCGTCTGCCTATTCAATCAGCTGATAAAACGTCTTACTCATCTAAGCATCACATGTGCGAGCGAGTTTGTTTATCTGTTTGCTTGCTTGGTCGTTTGTTTGTGTTTCCGCCCGCTAGTCTGCGCGCTTATGCAAAGGGGATGTTAACCTCATTCGTCTCAGGTGATATTGCACCGGTAAAAGAACAGAGGATTAAATGTCTCTCAAGTTTAACCATTTCCACGGCGCCCTTCTCCCCTCCCTCTCCCTCACACTTTTTCGCTTTCTCTCCCTCTCCTTTTCTCTATCCCACTCTTACACTTTCTTTCCCTCTCCCCCCTCCCTCTCTCCCACTCCCTCTGCCTCCCCCAACCCCCCCCCCCTCTCTTCTCTCTTTCTCTCTCTCTCTCTCTCACCCCCCCTCTCCCACTTCCCTCTGCCTCTCCCTCTCTCCTTCTCCCCTTCACCTCTGCCTTCTCATCTTCCCGCTTGCTCTCCCTCCCTCCATCCGTTCTCCTCTCTTCCATTCACTTCTTCCCAATCCTGATTTCACATTCAGAGCTGAAAATTGTTGAAGGTGGATATTCATGCCACTAAATGTGTGGAAGCAGTCTATACTATTGGAAGTCATTTCAGGTCGGGTCAGGTCAATTCAGGTCAGTTCAGTCACCCAGGTCCCGCGAAGGAGAAATGGAAGGTCTAGGATGAAGGACTTTCCCACAGGGGGCGGAAGGGCAACGGTGCAGATACTGGCGGGCCGATTTAAAGGGGCGAGGGCTCGGCGTGGCACCAACAAATGGGCCTATGATGCCAAAGCCTGCATTAGTTCCGGGACACGCAATGGTCGGGAATCCATTTATTTCTGGGAATGTAATGGTCGAGACTCCATGTGTTTCAGGAAATGTAATGGCTGAGGCACCGGAAACTTATTGGTAAAGACTCCCATTAGTTTTAGGAAATGCAATGGTAATGAGTCTAGTAGTTTCCGAAAATATAGTGGTCGAGACTCCTCTTGTTTCCTGAAACGTAATGGTGAACACTCCATTTGTTTCAGGAAACGTAAGGATAAACACCCCATTAGTTTCCGGAAATGTGAAGGCTGAGACTCCATTAATTTCCGGAAATGTGAAGGCTGAGACTCCATTAATTTCCGGAAATATAAAGGCAGAGACTCCATTCACTTCCATAATTGCGTGAACGGACAGGCGCAGGTCCGGACGGTCACCTAATGACCTGTGCCCTCCCGGTGACAGATGACCTTTAGAGATTAATCATTGCATCTCCAGCTGAAGCTCACAATTGCAATACCCCCCCCCCCACCCCCCACGAGGACTTCAGGTAGAGACATATCAATTCTAATGGCCGTATGCTTAAAGAAACTGTGCCACGCAAACCAGTTCTCAGCACAAACTACTTATGCAAGAATCTTCACGAGTGTAGTAAGTCTCAACAGTTTCAATAAGTCTTAACAGTTTCAAAAATACAATTTTCTTACCCTCTTGTGCTATTTTGGTAAACCAGTTGATCTTTTTTTTTTTCTTTTTGCGGTATTATTCCTTAGAAGAGGATTTTGTTCTTAAAATGAGCGCATTCCACAATTTCTTGAAGCATACGGCCGTAAGAGCTAAAATGCCGGAATTTAGTGACATCTTTCGTGTACATGGAGTGGAATTCTAAGATTGACGTCAGAGGACAAACCAAAGGGAGTGTAGATAGCTTTCCAGGGAGTAGCAGCAGGGAGAATAATGTGATATTTCCTAATTCCATTTAGGGCTCTCCTAGAATCCTCGCGTCTCCCTTCTCTCTTTCTCTTTCTCTCTCTATCAATTTGCCTATCTATCTTTATCTTTTCATCTATTTCTCTTTCTCTCTCTCTCCATCTCTCTTTATCTATCTATCTATCTATCTATCTATCCATCCATCTCTCCCTCCCCTTCTCCCTTACCGTCTCCATTCTCTTCGTCTCCCTTTACTCCCTCTCCTACCGCCCCCTTCCTCTTCTCTCTCTGCCCCCTCTTCCTCTCCCTCTCTCCCGCCTCTTCTCCCCATTTCCTTTTCTCTCTCCCGCCTCTTCTCCCCTTCCTTTTCTATCTCCCTCTTCTCCCCCTTTCTTCTTCTCTCCCTGCCCTCTCCCTAACCTCCCTTAAGACCACCAAGGCACCGGACCCCCCCCCCCCCATCACCCCCGCCGGAGCCACAGGGGAGCCACGGAAACCCACAGCAGGTGCACATTCATCAGCGTTACGGCATCCTCGGAGACCCACCCCGGACGCACCCCGGGGCCTGCGCTCTCGGCTGACTTCTAATCCTTCTTCTTCCTCCTCCTCCCCTTCATCCCCCAATAGGATCTCAAGAAGAACCTAGAAGAACTCAAGAACCCAAGAAGAACAAAAAACAACCACTAAGAAGTCAAGAACCCAAGAACCTAAGAAGAACCCCAAAAAACTAAGAACTTACGAAGAATCTAAGAACCTGAGAAGAATGTAAGAAACTAAGAACTTGAGAAAAGCCTTAGAACCTAAGAAGAATGTAAGAAACTAAGAAGAACCCGAGAACCTAAGAAACTAAGAAAAGAACCTAAGAAGAATGTAAGAAACTAAGAACTTCAGAAGAACCTAGGAACCTGAAAAGAACCTATGAAGACCACAACAAGAATCCAAGAATAAATCAAGAACCCACGCAGAAACCAAGACTCCCAAGAAGCACCCACGGAGAAGCCACGGGGAACCAAAGAAGCGCCACAGAAGCAACAAGATTAATCCAAGAAGTATCCACACGGGGATCCCACGAAGTACACACGAGGAACCCGAAAGAAACCCTTAAATACCCACACAGAACCCAAGGAGAACCCAGAAACCCAAGAGGAACCCAGGAGGAACCCACGAAGCACCAAAAAGGAACCCACAAAGACCCGAAAAGAACCCACGAAGCCCAAGAGGAACCCATGGAGCACGTATAAGGAAGCCACCAAGAACCAACAATACCACGAAGTCAAAGAGGAACCCACAAAGAACCCAAAAAGAACCCACGAACCCCAAGAAGACCCAAAAGAACCCACGAACCCCAAGAGGAATCCCTAAAGAACCCCAAAAGAACTCCCGAACCCAAACCCCCCCAAAAAAAACGAACCCCCAAGAGGAGCCAAGAAGAACCCACGCAAACCCCTTGCGTCTGAACCCCCTGGAACGCCGCGTGGCAACCCTCCGTGCAAGTCATCATGCCATAAATCAGATGAAAGAAGCTGACACATGAATGTCAACTTTTCTATGGCATTCCCGTGACATCGTGTTCTTTTAATATTCCGTGAGTAGGTTTAGGGGAGTGCGAGAAAGAGGTGAGATGGAGAGGGGGAAATGAAGAAGGTAGGGAAGGAGGGAAAAGAGGGAGGAGGGAGAAGAAGAGAGAGAAATGAAAAAGGCAGCGGAGAGGAGGAGAAAGAGGAGGGAGGGAGGAAGAGAGAGAAATTGGAAGAAGCAAAAAGAGGTGAGAAAAATAGCGGGAGAGTAAGAGGCGAGAGGAAGCGAAGAGAGAAATGAAAAAAAAGGCAGGAGGGGAGGAGGAGGGAAAGAGAGAGAAGATGAAGAAGGGCGGGGAGGAGGGAGGGTGAGGGAGGGGGGAGGAGGAAGAGAGAGAGGGGGAGAGAGAGAGATAAAGAGCGAGGGCGGGCTCGACGTCCTCCAGGCCAGGGGAGAGGGGGGCGTCTGAAATCGTGGGAAGCGTGGTGGTAGATCTAGACGAGGGGGGGCGTGAGAGGCGAGGTCAGGAAGGAGCTCGGGGAGGGCGGGCGGGAGGGGGTGGGGAGAGGGAGGGAGAGGGAGAGAGAGGGAGTGAGAGGGAGGAGAGGGGAGAGGTGAGGAGGGGAGAAGAGGAGGATAAGAGAGGAAGAGGGAGGGAGTGAGGAGGGAAGCGCGGGAGGAGAGAGGGAGGGGAGGAGGGGGAGGGAAGGGAAGAGGAAGGGAGGGAGAGGGAGAGGAGAGGAGAAGGAGAGAGGAAGAGATGTGAGAGGAGACGAGGAGAGGAGGAGAGGGGGGAGAAGAGGCAGAGGGAGAGAGAGTGACAGAGGAGAGGAGAGAAGAGAGAGCGGGGGTCGGAGAGGTGTGGAGAGAGGGGGAGGAGAGGAAGAAGGAGAGGAGGCGAGGGGGGAGGTGAGAGAGGAGAAAGAGGAAGAAGGAAGGAAGAAGAGAGGGGAAAAAAACCGGAGAGGAGAGAAGGAAGGGAGGAGAGAGGAGAGAGAAAGAGAGAGGAAGAAGAGAAGAGAAGAGAGGAGAGAGAGGAGAAAGGAGAGAAGAGAGAAGACGATTGCGAGAGAGCGGAGAGAGGAAGAGGAGAGCGGAGAGGAGAAGCAAGAGAGAGAGAGAGAGAGAGAGAAGAGACCCGAGAAGGAGAGGAAGAGAGAGAGAGAGGTGAGAGAAAGAGGAGAGGGAGAAGAGAGGAGAGAGAGAGAGGAGGAGGGGGAGGAGAGAGAGGGAGAGAGGCAGCGCGGCCACGGGATGCATGGAAAAAGGATGTATTGCGAGGCTACCGGGTGTACGAGTGCGAGATGATCCGCAGGCGATTCCCAAAAGCGAATGAAGATAAGCAAAGAAATAGAACGAAAAGAAGGAAGAAGAAACAACGAAACTAAGAGTATTCGGGCCAATAGGCATGATGTACAAATAAAAAACAGAAGGGACAGAAGGAGAAAGAATAAAGGAAGAAAGAAAATGAAAGAAAATAAAGATAAATAGCAATAAAATTGAAAAAAAGAAAGAAGAAAAAAAAAAAGGAAAAAAAGAAAGAAGAGCAAGAAAAACAGGAAAAAAAAAATACCAAGGAAAAAAATAAGGCACAGAAGTGACGAGAACAAAAGGGACGGCACAAACAAAGGGCGTGGGAGAGGGGGGGAGGGGGAGGAGAGTGCAGTGGCACGCAATTGCCACACGTCGGCAACGACGCTGTCCGGCGAGCGAACGCATGGCCCAGGGAAATGCCGGGGAAGCGCACACGTGAGTGGAGTGCGCAGAAGCGGCGTTCGCAGGAATCGTAGGCGCGTAGCGTGGCGTGGCGGAGTGGGAGGTAGAAGGTGAAGAGGAGGCAGAACTCAGAAGCCTTGCAACCTAATTAAGAAGCAAGAGAAGAAGAGGGATGCAGGGTCGAGCAAAAAAGAGAAAGGCATACATTTAGAAAGGTAGTATATACGCATTTAC